CTAAACAACATGATTACTATGTATTTATATAAAGGATTATGTAAATGTTCTAGACAAACAAACAAGATAAACTATAATTGGTATAGTTTGGAAGTCACAAAACTACATTATCTTTTTAGAAGGAACAAATAATTATTTAAAGGTATAATTATTTCATTTACAAGAAAAGGGGGGTTTTCCTTTCACGTAAATCGATTGATATTGGTTATGAGACGTTAGGCTTCACTGTACCCACCAGAGTACACATACTAAGACCTGCATTATAACCAGAGTCCCTTGTAGGGAGAGCGTGTCACTTGTGTATAAATCTATACATGATGGACAACCCCGTACCTAAAATGTTAGCTACAGTTAGACCGGTAGGTCTGGGGTGACAAATGTAACAGCTCCAACGTCTAAAGCGCGTCGTTCAGGCTACTAGTCGCATTAGCATGGTTATAATAACACACATAGAGTATCGACAAGAATTGATTTATGGTTCAACATATCTTAAATAGTTTTATTTACATAAAACTACATTACATAGTTTTCCAGTATAATATAGTTTATACATAAGGAAATATTCTTTCAAACGGTTTTTATATGAACACAACTGTATTTTACTACTTTCGTGTACAACAATACTTATACACTTTTGGGTCGTCAAGATTTAAGACTACAACTTATTTATAAATAGAATATTTGATTTTTTGGAAGTATAAATTGTCATTTTACAAGAAACAGTTACAAACTCCTTCGCATACAAAAATGCTTATAAACTCACCAACTTAATTTGTGACACTTTTCAAAATCACTTGTATTTTCAGGAAACCAGTAAACAGGTAACCACAAGGATTTTTGGTGGATGGGACATCGTCCCATCCTGCTATTTCATTTTTGTCACATGCATATGATATTATGTAAATAATATTTTCGAGTACAATGTAAACATACTAATATTCAATGTAATGGTTGTGATGCTTTGTTTCAGTTTTATTCAATTGTTACGATACTGTACATGATGTCATCCACCCCTAGACGTTTTTTCCGTTCTGATTTGGGGGTGTGACAAGAGCTCTGAACACCTAAAATGTACCAGACTTATGTTTATTCAAATAAAAATACTTCTACGAAGTTAGTCTTACAATCTATCTGAATGTTCCTTTAGTGTGACCTAATTCCAACGAAGATTCACATCATCTAGTGATGTATTCACCATATATCTTGATAAATACGATTTTGCATTTGTCATAAGACTCGAGGTCAAATGATTTCTAAAATCCTATCCTCCTGGATGCATTTATTATTTATACATTCAAGACTATGATTCCACAAATACATTTCAACCAAGTCTTTTGGAGTATTTGAAGAAGTATGCATTGTGTTCAATATGAACCATCCATTATTTAAACTAACTCTAACAAATATTCTCGGTGATAACGCTCTCGTGATCAATCTTGACAAATAAGACTTGCATTTGTTATAAGACTTGTGGTCAAGTGAAATTCCAAAATCCTATCCAAGTAGATATTTAATAATGTTATTCTCATCTATATGTCCAATAAAATGATTCCATATTAATACATCTTATTCAAATATTCGAATAAGTTTTGAGCTATTGTTATTATACTAGTTTCATAGATTTCTTGACTGTTTTTTTAACATCATAGAATGTTCTACATTTAAATAAGTCAGAACAACATCATGAAACATAGTATAAATAGTTTGGATCATAAAACCATAGACCAAAAATTTGGAGAGCAAAAGTTGTCTTTTGATCCTATAAAAAAATAGAAAGGGCTTAGTATTCATGATCAAATTATCTTCTCCATGTTTCAGTCTTATTATTTCATTTCAGTCACTTTGCAAATGTTAATGCGTAATCCTTAGTAAAATACTCAAAGGATTAAAAGTAATATTCCAATGGTATTATGAATTCATATATTTGATTGGATACTAAACATGGGATAATTAGTTGTCTTTTGATCCTGTGTATAGTAGAATGGCCTCGTAACCCATAATCAATTTATCTTCTTCATGTTTCAGTCTTTTACTTTCCTTAGGAGATATTGGACATTTATGCTTTATTGGCTCTTCTCTTATTTTGGAAACTAATAGCATGTCAGAACATATCTCAAAATAAGCCTTCCTATTTTTCTTGGCATTTGAGGTTAGATTAGGTATACCAACACTAATCGCCTTTTAAACCATAGGCAATTTACTTTTTTCTTCTTGGCACTTCCATTCATGATATCAAGTTTATGTGAGTATTTGAAGTTGGAGTTCCTATAAATTTCCATGTTAGTTCAAAATGGAAACCTAAACATGCCATGCAACTACTCCGTGGACATTTCAAGGTTATTCATATAAAAATCAAAGCGAAATGATCACATGTGCATGTCAGTGAGTTGGCTAACCCAAGTTAACTCATACATCAACGAAGTTCCATTTAACTTTAAATTGTCAGTATGAAACGTACCCTTGATAATTCTATTTCTTATTGTTTCAAATATATTGGTTGGAGGAGCCTTAAGGAGCGCTTTTATCTGAGACACGATCTTTCCTTTTGTTTATGAGAACTATTCTAAAACTATAAATTTGGACAAGATTGATCATTCTAATAGCTTATCATTTCAAAGATTTTGTAGAGATAGATTTTAGTAGATAACATTATAGACATCATTTAATATCAATTTCCATCATAGTTTGTTTTATTAGTCCTTAAAAAATTATTTAACAGGTTAGGATCTATATTTGGCTCTATAATATGTATAGGGTCGTCGTAAACACAACACAAAGTTATTTTGATTATCAATATTTTTTGTCATATTCAACCACTATGAAATTACTAGATCTTTAAGATTCATTGAATATCAGTGACACGTTAATCTCAAATTATGCTCATCTTAAATTCTATGATGGGGTCGCCGCAGATCATAGAACAGATGGTGAATCAACCATGTCATCACCAACTCAAGTTACACTTGAGATTTGTGAGTTTCATATCATTTGCAATTATAATCTGCAATTGATGTGTTGGTTAACCACATGAGCTCCATAAACAAATTATAAAGAAAATATGCAATTCTCATGGGTAACATAAGATTCAAGTTTTTAATAAAACATGATTTTTTTTTTACTTTAAAAAAATTCTTTTAACATAAACACTTATCATATTAAACCCTTTCGGTAACTCCACTGTCAAAATAAAAAGAGGCGGTAAGCTTTTAGAAAATGACCTAATTAGGAATCAGAAAGACTTCCTTAAACCTTTCATATAACATTAGAGTTGAGGTGTGTAGTCCATGTTAACTGATAATGTTTTAATTAAACATGTGAAAGCACATGTTATAATAGTCTCATACATACATACATATATACATACATACATATATTAATTTAATTTCAATATTCAAAATTATAAATTCAAATTATAAACCTTATTTAAAACAGTTAAATGTCAAGTTTAAATCGCTGTCTAAATAAAATTTCATAAAGTGGGGTTATGCAAAATTCGAGTTACAACAAATTTGTTTCTTACTTGACAAGTTAGTGAACTTGTCGAGTAAGTTAGGGTTTCACAGGATAAAAATTGATCAGGGTTCACTGTGTCCAATCGATTTCAAGGTTTACTTTTCAATTTCATTTTAAGGGATTTTGGTTATTTAAACCCTAGCTTAGGGTACAAGGAAAATCGAAAATAACCAACAGAAAAAGAAAATAATAATTTCGCACCCTAAAAACCTAAAATTGAAAAAAAAAACCTAATTTAAACAAACAAGATTCAAATCATTTTGGAATAGCAGTGCAAGTAATTATGAAGGAAAGGTCCTAATACAATTGATGGGTTATAGACATTCAATACACACAATTTCACAATTGAAGACTTAAACCAAATTCCTATTTGTACATGTAACCTATAATAATCTAGGTCTCAAACTATTACTGCAACCACTAGAATAAATATAGTTACATACTTCTTTTGCAACTAGTGACTTTCCATCTTGTGATATTGTCATTTCTACCTTTCATGGATAGGAGGACCCATAGTAGGAATCCCTATGGAGGAATTACACACAAGATTCCAAAAGAGGTGAACCAAAAATAACTAGGAGATAGTCTTGATCCAAATTACTACAAACCCTACGAGGATTAAGAAATTCGATCTTCATAAATGTAATAGAAGGGATAATAAAATTTCCTAGGATGGAACGAGCAGTAAGGGTTTGATCAAGCACCATATTTATAGGTCTTGCATCCTTAACCCAATTGCATCTCCTATCCCATGTGGGATAGATGCATATTTTGAAGTTTTTCTTATCCCTTAAAGATTTTGGAATATTCCAATTAGTTAACTTTTAACAAATTAATATTTAACATTTTTAATTAATTAAAGCTATTTAATTAATTCCAAAATAATTTCCAATTAATTTATTAAAACATAATAAATAAACAATTTTTTATTTATTTATTATATTCAAATGGGTCATGAGAACAACCTAAAAAGACTTCTTTATTATTAGAAATATTACTAATAGTTGATGATATTGAACAATTTTTCCAATAGAAGATATGGTTTTCCAACTCCTAAAACACATTGATTGTGGTATACAACGGTTTGGAAAGGATGACGAAGGTCACAAAGATAGGCTCCGGTGAAAATGTTCTCTGACAAAATGGGCTGCTTCAACAGCTCTCAAAGCTTCCGTCAATGAATGAGAGAGAGAGAGAGTTAATAAAAAATCATTAACATAAATAAAAGATAGAAAAAGAAAATAGAATGGGCAAATTTGTTATTTTAAGCTAATTTTAAAATCTTACAGAGACAAAAACACAAAATTTTAGACAAGTAATGCTAGTCTAAAGCATTTTGTACCAAAATAATAATTTTTAACTAAATATAAGGACCGTTTTTACAATTTTATCTGTATAACTATAAAACAATCTTTTGACCACTTTATGATTAGAGTATTTTTTTGACCATCATCGTCTCCTTTATAACAAATATTTTCAAAATGTCCCTTTTAATGCATTGACGTAATTTTTCTTTTAATTTCATAACGGTAAATCAGTCAAAATCATCTTTAAGATCGGAAAACAGGATGCTATGTGGGTCAATAGCGACCTTACATCTTGAGGTATAAATGATATAAATAAAAAAGGTTTATAATTCAGTGCCCAAAACTTACATTTATCAATAATACACGTGTCAATCTTTACTCTTATATTTTATTTGATACAAATGTTTTAATATGTCCTTAGTTTGTTAATGTCGCATGTGGACTATTTGGAGAACACCATGGATCGTCTGTAATGAACTGCATCCAAGAATCGTCTTTATCATCTTCATCCAAACACGACGATGACGCAATGGGAACATCCGGCGACATCGTTTCATAATCATTGGTAATCGTTGGAGAATATTGTGACATTGACATGCTCGTATGTCCATTATCTTCCAGTTCAACACACACTCCATTTTTCTTGAAAACACGACACAAGGCATAAGAGTCCTATATACATGAATGACAACAATTAAATATATATGTAAATATATAAAGACGTTTAGAAACAATAATAATTAAATAAAATGTAAACCGGTAAATAAATATTTTCACTTTATAATGAGTAGTCATGGAGAGAAGATACTTTTGTCCGATTAGAGTAAAAGAAAAAAGTAATTCGTGACCTTTGCTTTGCAATCGGGGATATCTATGATTCATCACTATCACAAGCAACGAATATATATATTAAATATATATAATTTTTTATAAGATTTTAAGAAACTAATTTCTGAAGGTTAATAATAAATTCATTACTAAATCATGTGGTGGAGCTAATGATCGAATTATTGTTTTCAAATAAAGGTTTGCAATAATCATTTTGAACATCCAAATACATTATATATTAATTAATAGGGAATTTATATTAATAGAACGATGAAATGATACCTGAATACCCAATGTGTCTTGACAATCTTTATCGTCGAGTCGATATTCATGCATTACCCAATCTGTTCTAATTCCTTGTGGAGCACGTCCACGATAATACACTAATGTTTTTTTCATTCCAATGGCACGATTCTGACCTTGACTTGTAACTCTTCGATCTTTACCAGTTGATTTCCAGTATCCAGCCCTTGTTGCTCTGTTAGTTCTGAATCCGTTTGGATATTTTCTGTCTCGTGGTCCGAAAAAATACCATTCGGGATCTCGACTTGGTAAAAATGATTTTTCTGCTCATTGCACATATTTTATTTTACGTCATTAAAATAATATTGTTACTAATTGGAGCAATCATTATGAATAAAGTGCTTCCTAGATTTTAAAAATATATGAGAATATAATGACATATTCATTTAGGAAAATGATAAAATAATAAAATATTAATAAGTACAAATTTGTAAAATGTTAGAACGGAAAGCCTCATTTCTCACCCTTCCTGTATTAAGTGATTATTTCTCGTTAAGTAAAATATATAGTCGATCATAAGCATCCATATCTCTATTGATTTCATTAATTTCAAAAAATAACACCATCTTAGGGTATTTATTTATTTATTATTTATTAAATCCTAAGCATATATACACACTATTTTTAAAGGAAATAAAAATGAACATCCTGGATCTTCAATGTGGCTCATTTTCATCGGGATAGGGATTTAAATATCGTAAATAGATACTAATTTTCTTCGGTGCTTTCTAACACATTTTACTCAACTAGTGCAAACACTACCTGTAGACATAATTAAAGTTGAGCTTAAACCTTACTACGGGTGTGCAAAAAATCTGAAAACTTGACCAAAATTCTAAAATTAAACTGGTTGTTACATTTTTTATTCCTAAAACCGAAGATATAGGTTCGATTCAGTTTTGATAAAAGCAACGCGAATCAAACCAGCTGTAGATGTAGTGGTTAACAATCATCAGCTAATATTGAGATAATTAGGCTTTTAGTTACTAGAAAAACACTTTTTTTTTGGTCTATAGAAAACGAAAACCTGAAACTGAATGGTTTTATACGTAATTAAGTACGTTAAAGAAAAAGAAAGAAATTAACCTGCTAACTCCCATGGTTCACATTTATAGAGATCAACTTCAGGAATGATGTCAAGTTCAATCTCTTGACCATGTATCTTCCTTTTAAGATAGTAATTCACAAGCTCTTCATCTGTTGGATGGAACCTAAAACCTGGAGGCAATCCCGCTGGCGCCATTTTTATATATTTTTCAGGGCAAAAAAACTAACGATCTGATCACACATATATACAGGTTTTTTATATGTTATGTGTCGTCTGTCTTGAGATTCAAAGTGACATGTCTTTGAATCATCTCTTTCGCTTTTTCTTTTTACAGATTCTTGGACAAACGTTTCAGGGAAGCCATTTTCACAAGCAAATTAATGGCTTAACAAATGGATTGAAACTTTCTTCACGTAAATAAAGTTAGGGGTTTTGAGTTCGAATATAATACACGACACTTGATAATTTGTTTTCCAGAGTGTTTGAGGTGGTAATAGTGTCATCTTTTTTTCTCTGGAACGTCATGTTTACTTTTGGTTTTTTATATGTTTACATGCCGAAACTTGTGGTTTAGGTTACGATTAAAGAAATGATAAAGAAATGTCCAAAAAGCACATGTGTGTATATATGTATATATAAATAATGAAAAAGAAATGTCTAAAAAGCACATGCATGATTATGTATTGTATGTGTATATGTGTATAAATATGTATGTATATCGAAAAAGTAATACCATCCACATCCGAAGATGCCAGTGTTTATTTTTTACGCATAAACTTTCATAATTGTTCCTATATGAATTTAATACGAAAATATTTTTAAAAGTAGTCAAACTCATCAATAAACAATTACTTATATATCTTTAAAAAAATGTTTTAATTATATATAATTAACTTTTATCGATTAAATGTTAACATGAATATAATTTTTTTAAATATAATAGTAAACAATTATATATATATATATATATATATATATATATATATATATATATATATATATATATATATATATATATATATATATATATATATATATATAGTCACAAAGATGAGATCTTGTTATTTAAGTATTACACAAAATATCCTCTTTTTTTTTTTGCACTTTACAGGGACTACAATCGAATCTACAACAAGTTGTTTCAACCCGAGATCCAATAGGTATCCACCAATGATCGAATATGCAACAAGTTGTTTGGACCTAGGATCCAATAGATATCCATCCATTCAAATGGTCACCATATTGAAAGGAAATCTGAAATATGATACTCACTACGCACTAAAATACCATCAAATCAACACAGAATAGTGAAGGGTTTTAAGTGTATTTTGTATGTTTTTTCTAACTTGTATATCTTCGTTATATTCTTAAACAAACAATCATGTAATAAATGTTCACATCCTAAATGATATAAAGTATTCAAAAAGTAGTCTCAAACCAGAGACAAACCGAAATTAATTTCTAAATTAGTTTTATGTGGGTATTTCTAAGCTCTAGATGATTATGAAGAAGAAATTTAAAAGGAAATCAATGATGCAACACGTTTTAATAAGAAAATCATGTTATACGATATATTATTTATGCCATAATTTTAAAATTACAATGTTAAGATAGAACATAAACAAAAATATAATGTTATAATTCACAAAAGTATCATAATTTTGTTAATTATAAGATCATACTTTTGTTTATCTTTTATTATAGCATCGTCCTTTTAATATTATATTATTATGGTTTAAAAAATATACCATTTAAATTTATTTAATATTAAATTTAATTTGATTTCATAATTAATTTAATTTGAATTTAAAATTAACTTAATTTGATTTTCTAATTAATTTAATATTTTCTTTTTTGTTATTAGTTTTTTTAATTAATTTAATTTGATTTTCTAATTAATTTTATTTTATTTTAATATTAAAATTAATTTGATTTTAAAACTAATTTATTTTTATTTTAAAATTAATTTAACATTTTTTATTGATATTTTAAAATTAATTTTACTTTATTTTATAATTTTTAAAATTACTAAAAGCGAATTGCTGTAATGACCAACATTAAGTCACTAAAAAAATTAAGAATTTTGATTTTAAAATTAAATTAATTTTAATTTATAACTAATTTACTATTTTCTTTTTTGTTACTAGTTTTTTTAAAATTAAATTAATTTGATTTAATAATTAATTGTATTGCATTTTAATATTAATATTAAATTGATTTTAAAACAAATTGAATTTGATTTAAAAATAAATTTAATAATTTTTTATTGATTTTTTAAAAACTAACAAAAACTTTATTTTATAATTAATTTAAAATTACTAAAAATATGTTGCTATTAATAATCAAATTAAGCTAAAGTTGTAATGAAAATATTAAATCACTAACAAAATCAAGCACTTTGATATTAAACTTAACTTAATTTCATTTTAAAATTAGTTTACTATATTTTTTGTTATTAGTTGTTTTTCTAAATTAATTTAATTCGATTTTATAATTAATTTAATTTTATATTAATACTAATTAAATTTGATTTTATAATTAAGTTAATTTAATTTTATAATATTTTAATTTAATTTTAAAGTTAACTTACTTTGATTTCTTAATTAATTTAATATTTTCTTTTTTGTTATTAGTTTAATTTTTTAAATTAATTTAATTTGATTTTATAACTTATTTTATTTTTTTTATTTTTAATATTAATTCGATTTTATAATTAATTTAATTTAGTTTTATAACTAATTTAATTTAATTTTATAATTAATTTAATTGTTTCTTTTTTGTCATTAGTTTTTTTTTAAATTAATTTAATTTAATTTTATTTTAAAATTAAAATTAATTTGATTTTTAAACTAATTTAATTTGATTTTACAATTAATTTAATATTTTCTTTTTACTGATTTTTTAAAAATTAATTTAACTTATTTTATAATTAATTTTAAAATGTCTCAAAAACACGGTCCAAAAATTTCGTTTTTAAATTATTAAATAAACGATAAATAACATCATGATATAAAACATGAACCATGTATCTAAAAAATAATGTAACATCTGTCAACATATCAAAATATCGTATCAAATATCAGAGTAAATATCTCAGGCTATAAGAAGCGGTGGTGTGTGTCATCCGATCATTCTGACCCCTTCTCTTTGCTAGCAGAAGTACCTATAACCAAAGCTGAAACTGTAAAAACGAAGCTTAGTGAGATCCCCCAAACTACCACATACCATACACATAACATGCAACAAAGAGATACAGGCCCCGCCCACAGTCCGCTGCTACGAGATACAAGGCCGACCCACACTCGGCTACTATGAGATATGGGCCCCGCCCACACTCAACTACTAACATACATACAAGGATTACAAAGACAACAAGTACGTCTACAACTATCACTCTGTAACATCTGAAAATTTTACGCCAAATTTAAACTTGTCAAGCAACCAAATAGTAATTGTTTACAAAAGTGTTTTCAATTCATTATTCAATCAGAGTGTCCCAAAAGCTAGATCATACGGATGTGGAGCGGTACGGTTACGTCTTCGCCTTGCCATGAACTCCTGAGGTAGTTGAAACAATAAACTAAAAACTGTAAGGTCGAGGGCTTAGTGAACTACCCACAAAATACCAATATCAGACTGATAATACCATATCTGCAATAACCAATTAATCAACATGAATACTGGGCCATCGGCCTAACTGGACCACCCTACAGGACCTACAGTCCAACTGGATCTACATCGAGCCTTCGGTATGACTGGACCGCCATGTGGGCCTACAGTCTTCCCGGACCGCTCCTAGGGTGTGTTGGCCTTCAGCACAAAGCAGGACCGCCTCAACCCATGCAACAAGCAAATAACCATGTGCGCATAACAAACATTTACTACATATTACAAAACATCGAACATATCTATCTCACTGATTACCAAACATAGCAATTTCTCATAACTAGAGCACTAACCTAGAAGGTCACTAACATATCAATCCCTATGGATCATAAGAACATAACATATAGTCTATCCTGATTCTGATCTAACGGATTATATCCACATGTACCATACCATAACGATAACAATTAAAGGGCCGACCTTGGTGCCTTAGACCCTATCAATATAGTGAGGATAACTCACCTTGCAGATGTAGACTCGGAAGATAAACTCCAACTCTCGGGTAACTTGACACAGGATCCACCACTTATTACCATAGTACAATATACTCATAAGTCCTTAACCTTATAAGGTACTCCATAACCCACTAGTAAACCCCTGGCTAAGGTCAAAGTCCTCCGTCAAGGTCAACAGTCCATGTTGACCTTAACTCGTCGAGTACCCTAGGCTACTCGCCGAGTTGCTTGAAGCAATATCCAACTCGCCGAGTCATCGAGGTGACTCGTCGAGTTCTTCCGATTCTTGATCACACTTTTAAGCCACCCATCGAGTTTCCTTCTTGCAACTCGATGGATACACACACATACATATCCTGGAGAAAACTCATCCGACACGTCGAGTTGTTCATACAACTCACCGATTCTATGACAATCTTCATCGGACTTGCCGAGTTGTTCATCCAACTCGTCGAGCTCAAGGCCACCTTCATACGACTCGTCGAGTTCCTTCAGACCTTAAGCCATACAGACTCATTTAAGCCATGCAATGGCTCCAAATTACAGATCCAAGCTTCTTGAGCATGCTTTTCACGTAAAGTTGCAAACTTTACGTGTATACATGGCTAAAAAGGCTCTTAATGGAAATTCTATGCTCTTAATGGGGTTTTATGCACAAGGAGGGTTTCAATCACCCCCATACCTGCATCTTTATGACTCTAGGATTTAGGAAGGGTCCAGATCTGAAGTTACAACTTCAGATCTAGCCCATAGCTCCCCATATTAACCCAAAATCCATAAAACCCTAAAACTCAACCTTCTTTCCAAGGCTTAAATAGCACCAAGAAGAGTACCACACGAATTAGGGTTTCACTGAGTTTCTAAAAGACTGTAAAGAGGCCAAAGGAGGCTGAGGCTCCTTTAAATAGGGTGCAAAACCCTAGGATTTAGGGTTTCATCTGCTAGCTCCTACTCGTCGAGTCCCTTCATGGACTCAACGAGTAGGTCACTAAACATTCATATCAAACCCGTTTCTACTCGTCGAGTAGGGCAACCAACCCATTTCATACTCAAATAATGCTATGAGATATGGTCCCTGTAACACTCGACTAACTAGGAGATACGGGGCTTGCCCACACTCAGCTACTGGTCAATACACATAACATATAATGAACTCCACACGAATTATCCATTTTACTAGAGGAAAACTCACCTCTCAAACTGGATGCTCATCTCGTGAGTGAGGAATCTCTGTTGTCTGCTCTCACGACTCCCCGACTAACACTATACAGTAATGCTTTGTCAAAATCTGAGAATCCTTCTAAGGGTGAAATGACCATTTTACCCTTGGTCAAGGTCAACCCTATGGTCAAAGTCAACTTCCCATGTTGACCAAC